TATATATATATATATATATATGCATATCAATGCCACCAAGGCATGCTAGACGCTGTTCCACAACTACGTCTAAAACAGCCAAATTCTTCTTACTGCAGGACTTCTCCAAAGCTTTTGATATGGTGAACTATCATATACTGCTGAGAAAACTCCATAACCGCGGTCTTTGAGGACTGCCTCTGGTACAGATTAGGGAATTTCTTCCACAACGTACCGTATTAGTTCTCGTTAGTGGTTCGCTATCAGGACCACTTAAAGCTATTCGTGGAGTTCCACAAGGATCCGTACTTGGTCCGTACCTTTTTCTAGCATTCATACATTACATATCGGCTACCCTTAGGGCACAGGCAAGATTATTTGCTGATGAAACCAAAACATGACAATACAAAGTCCTGATGATTATGAAACACTACAGGGAATACTAAACACAGCTTACCTCTTATCCACCACTTATACCATCAAATTCAAAGTTGAGATGTCTAAGGCTGCATCATTGCGTCACAGGGGTCGTCTTCCATACTTACTTGGAACTCAGTCATTACCGCGTTTTATTGTTCGGGAGGATCTGGGATGTTCCAAACATTGCGCGAGAGTGCAATCAAAGGCCATGAAGCACGTTGGTTTGTTAGAATGTGTGTTTGGATTATTCGAAGCAGACTNCTATCAGCATGTATTAGAACACACATCGAGTATGCTATACAGGCTTGGAATCCATGACTAATTCGCGACCAAAAGGCACTCGAAAGTCCACAGAGAAAATTGTCTTTGTATATTCAATAAAAGGAAGTACAAAAGATGAAAGGCTACAAATTCTCGGAATCCATGCACCTGAACAGTGCCGAACACGGGAAGACAGGATCCTCGTATATCAAATACTACATCAATATAATCACGCATGTAGTACTCTACTAACACTATGCGGGAATAGTTACTTCAGGGAAGATCCATGTAAACTGCTGCTCCAAAAATAGTCAACTGATGTGCCTGGGTTACTATTTGAGCCTCAGAGTCTGAAATATCGGAACCTCTCTTCCACCTCATATTGTTTGTTTTATTTCTATGCAAAATAGAAAGAAGCGTAGAGTATTGCGGAAACGATAAATTTAGGATGCGTGTGCAGTGGTGGCCTGAATGCATTCGCAAAATGGAGCAAAAGCGTGATTAAGAAGAATATATTGTGAATTTATTGATAGGGTAGGGCGTGTAAAATTGCTGTGTGATCTAAGAAATTATGGGATAAATGGAAATAATTTGCGGCTACTAGTGGTCGATATTTTGTGTATCCCCTGAATGTTCTCCGCATGTTTCAAAACGGACTCCCGAGAAGGATATTCAGGAGAATACTCGGAGTATCTCTTCTTGGTACACTCAGGAGAATACTCGTATTGCTTGGGCTCCAATCGTCGGTTCATTCAAGTCCTGGCTCGATGCAACACTAAAACACCTAGCTATTCAGCACCCGTGAGTGAACGAGATATTTTATTGTTCCATTGTACTACCAACCGAACCCGGTGAGTTCAAATCGTCTAGGATTCAATGAGCTTCCTCTTTGTAAATTATCCATCATAAACATTTTAATTTGACCGTCATAACCCGTTTTACGCTCAATGACGATCACCGCACCCCATTGCGGGAACTTGGTACTGGTTGACTTTGAGTCGATGTTGAACTTTTTTACTTCTGTACAATCACCGTATCTTTCTCTCTCTCTCTTGATAGGAATTTCG